AGTTTCTGCCAGAGCTCTCTCAGCCCCACCCACCTCACAGGGGGTGTCTGTTGTGGGGAGGGGAAGGGAAAGGAGTTTGTAAGCCGCTCTGAGACTCCGAGTGAAGGGCGGGGTATAAATCCAATCTCTTCTTCTTCTTCTAAACTGTGGAGTCTTGTGAGCGAAAATCCTACTAGGCGAACTACTGGCATTCAAGTTGTGAGCGAGCGATTTGGCTGCTGCATAAACGAGTTTGCTCTGGAGCCACCCTTCCTGAGCTTAGACAAAATATGTGTGAGCCGGGGGGCTAAAAAACGGTGAGGTGGCTCACACTAACTCAGCTTAGGGGGAACACTGTTTGGGACCCTGAAGTTTGAACTGTGATGGGGGCCCCTTCTCAACAAGTGGCCAGCATCCCACAAGGTTGCCCTGAGTCCCAAATGGCAGAGAACAGGGTAATGGCCCTTGAAAATGGGTATTCCAGCATAGTCTAAGGTCATTATTAAGTACTTCAACCCGATGGGCTTATGATTCTGTCACTTTTTAAAAACTCCCATCAATTTTGTTGGAAAAATCAACTCATTAAAAAAAAGTTGCTTCGGGCCCTGAAGCTTAAGCTCCATTTGTTTCATAGAAGACCTACCCCTGGATCCAGGGCTCTCTTACTCTCATCAGCGTGGGGGTTGTGGGGGTAAAAGCGGAGCAGGGGAGCGCACCACGCACTGCCCCCGAGCTTGGAGGAAGGCGGAAGGGCAGGATTGAGAAATGAAATAAACAGCAATTTCTAATGCGGGCAGCCGGTGATCTGAAAAACAGAATGGCCGGCCTTTATTCTCGGCCCGTCTTAATCAGCAAAATTGCCCTGCTCTTTAAAAATCTGACAAGCCGTTGCCGCTGGATTTCTCTCAGCCCTGTAAGGGCTCAAAACTTGCTTCTAATTCTTCAGTTGGCGGCTTTGGCTTTTAATGTTTACCTCATGAGCTGCCTCCAGCAAGGCTGGGAAGAGGCAGCACAGCCGTTATCTGAGTGCATTTTAAAGGAAGATGAAAGCCGAGATCTTGAGGGAATTGTTACCACTACTTGTGCAGTGGAGGAGGTGTGTGGTCAGGTCTCTCTCACACACACACGCACAGAGGCAGACATTTTGAAGAGCAGCCAGGGTCTGTGCCCCTCGCTCCATTCTCACCACCCCTTCCCAGCTCGCTTTGGAGGCGGAGAGTTATTGTGTCTACATTGTGGCCGTTGAGATGCTCAGAGGTCACACTCTGCTCGGCTGTGGGTGGCGCACAGCACCTGAACTAGGCCTTTTCCTCTTCCACCCCATCTCAGGATGCCAGCAGTCCCATCGTCACTGAGTCACTGTCCCTCTTTCCATCTTCTTTTTTTTTACAGATTTCCAGTCCACGCGAAGTGGTCGAAAGGGTCATTCAGAGGATTTGTGAACAGGGCAAGAAGAACGTCCTGGCCTTTGGCTACTCCCTGTTGGATGAGGGCAGATGCCCCTTGCCTGGCGTGCCCACCATCTGCAGCATTCTGCCTAATAACACAACAGAAGACATTTGCCAGAGTGTGCTGTGGGAAAAGTTCCTGAGCCGAGTTGGGGATGAGCTCATGATGTACCTGTTAGAGCACTGTGCGCTCTTCATGCTGGTGTCTCCTACCTGCTGCTACCAGATTTGTGGGCGACCTGTCTATCAGCTTACTGTAGGAACCACGGAGCCCTCTCCCGTGTTCTTTCGGCAGACAGATTCCAGGCCAACTCACAATGTTTTATCCCGGTACCTGCTAGGAAGGCTTCAGTCTCGTAGGCGTTACCTAGGAAAGGCAAAATGGAGGAAACGCCAAGCTGAAATACGAGACCCACAGGGAGGTTGGTGTTCTTCTTTGGTTGGCCGGGACTGTACAAAGAGCAAGCCAGTTACAAGGATCAGTGACTATTTGGGGAGCCAGCGAAGACCCAGTCAGCGGTCATCATTGACAGCGGTTTTACTAAAAAGAAAACGGAAGAATTGCAGTGAAATGGATGCAAAGAGAATGAAAACCGCACCAGTGGATGAAGGGTTAGAAGAGCAAGCAAGAGACCTCTCTCTTGCAGAGTGCAAAGATCAGTTGATTGGAGGCGGTGGTAGTAATCTTTCTGGAGGGAGCGTGAGGGCGTGTTCAGAAGACAAGTTAGCCGCTATGAAATGTGTTCCTCAAGAACGTGGTTCTGGGGCACAGACCTCTGGCGCATCTTTCATGACTCTGGGAACTCACCAGCTTGTTGTGTGTGACCGGGCATTAAGGGCAGATGGTGAGAAGAAAACGTTCCAGAACTCCAGCATTAACACAAAGCGGGGAACAGGCGCTCGTAGAGTTTCTCCAGTGCAGAAGGTAACTGCCAGAAATATTACTGCAGATAAATGCCGGAAGAACACACTGAATTCAGTCAGGGAGCCTTTTGAAAAAATACACACAGCAGGCAAAATTAAGATGCGTGACCTCTTGTATTCTCGCCGGCCATGGAAGGAGCGTTTACCTCACTCGTTTGTCCTGAATCGCTTAAAGGGTTGTCAGGCAGGGGGACGAAGGCTTGTGGAAGCCATCTTCTTGAGCGACAAGGTTCCAAAGGAGCCCGACGATGCCGGTCTCCCAAGTTGCCGCCAGAGGAAGAAGAGGCTTCCAAAGCGTTACAGGCGCGTGAGAGGCGAGTTCCAGGAATTGCTGCGGAACCACGCAAAGTGTCCCTATCTAGCGATGTTAAAAAAGCATTGCCCTGTTTTGGTTTCAGACAAAATTGGTGTCAGGAAGCTAGGTGAGGGCTTGGCAAAGACTCAGTGGGGCGCGGCTGAAGATGGCCTCAGCGGTGTATCAGGTGGTTTGTGTCCATCCCCGGAAACATCCAATAATTCAGGCAGAATTGGTGAGCGCGTCAAGTTGAGTCAAAAAGAAAGTGAGGAGTCAACCCCCAGAGACCCCCCCGGGACTGATTTCCTGGCGCTCCTGAAGCAAAACAGCAGCCCCTGGCAAGTGTACACCTTTGTGAGGGGATGTCTCGAAAGAGTGGTCCCTGCGGCTCTTTGGGGTTCTAGTCACAACAAGCGTCGTTTCTACAAAAATGTGAAAAAATTCATATCCCTGGGGAAGCTGGACACGTTTCCTTTGCGGGAGCTGCTGTGGAGAATGAGGGTGAACGATTGTGCCTGGCTCCGCCTGACCAAAGGTATTGATTGGGATTAATCGTATATTACAGTCGAAAGACCAGTTCTGAAGTACCGCCTTGGTACATAAAATGGTGCATAAATTGTATTAAAATGAGCAAGTTTGGTGTAGTGGTTAGGTGCGCAGACTCTAATCTGGGAGAACTGGGCTTGATTCCCCACTTCTCCACTTGCAGCTGCTGGATGACCTTGGGCAAACCATAGTTCTGTCAGAGCTGTTCTCTCAAGGACAGTTCTGGCAAGAGCTCTCTCAGCCCCACCTACCTCACAGGGTGT